ACAAAAGAGTAACAGCTATAATTTTTTTTGGTTTAACTATAAACTATAATAATATAAACCGCTGTACAATGGGTAGGACTTTGATCGGTTGAGCTTTTGTCCCCTCGTTAGTCTGCACTCTACTGATCTGTAAATAAATAAAACGAATAACCATCTTCCAAAACAGTTATAATTGGTATCGTGACCAGGTCGGTTTGGGTGTTTTGAGTACCTTGCGCTTGCCAGCCTTCTGGGCGACTTCTCTAGTGACTTTTCTGAGAGCGTCTAATTTTCGTTTCCGTTCCTCGATTTCTTTTTTCTTCTCCAAAGCCGCTTGTCTTTTCTTGTCGACTCTTATTTGATTTTGCTTTTTCATATACTCTCTCAGGTCGGCCGCCGTGACATCGGATCCGACGGAATCCCTGGAACTCGACCGAGCTGAAATTCAAACTGAACTCATGCAATCATCAACCGTCGGCGACGGTACAAACATAATGTAAATAGTTGTTGTCCTGTACGTTTTTGGCTCATTTTTTGGAGTTGTTCCTGATGTGCAGAGTACTTTGTCTCGGTGATAATATTATGTGCTCAGCACTCGACGCGGACGACGTGTAATAATCGGTGCTTGGTCTTAGTGCGTTCACCAGTGCGTTGTTACAAGAGATACTGTAAGTGACTGTGGTGGGCGGTTCATCTTGAAAACTGTTCCCGAAATACGTCTATTATTTTCACCGTTGGTTATTTGGACCGCAACTATATGGCCGGTCGGTGCCATCGAAGTCCAAGCGTTGAAAGTTCATTACCGAAAAATAATTATGTTTAAATTGCTTAGCTGTCTCTCAAAAACCGTGTTTAGTACATCGCTGCACCGACCGGTCATTACTTTTGCGGACATCAGCTATACTTACATAATAAGTCATTTTTTGTGTTCATGTATAGTTGGTGTCTTCGATTCGGGACTACCGATTGTCGTACATTATTGTGTAAGCAACAAGGAGTTGAAAGCAAAAAAATGCCATGGTAACTACTTATTTATCATTTTATTTCTTTAAATATACTTTAAAAACTTATGGTTTGAAAATTAGGCTAAAGGTAGTTTAAGTTCCATTTCATAACATGAACATGTTTTTTTAAAAATCTGTAATAAAATTTTTTTTTTATTAAAGAAACAAAAAAAAAAAGAAGACATTTGGATATTCATTAGTTTTTTTTTTTTCTTTTGTACTGATTTATACACTTTAACTAGAATGTCAACTATTTCCCAATCGATCAGTCAAAATGTTCAACCGATTTTTATTCATTATATGTGTTGTTCATTGTAGAAGTGAATTTTCTCCTTGTAATCGAATTTTTAAATAACCCGCTTTTGTAAATTAATGAGTAGGAAAACAAATACAAATATTCATTCAGTGTTTTCTATTTTGTATTTATTTTTGCATTTATTAGAGTTGTTTCTCTTTTATTATGAAAGATATGACTCCATTAGGCAAAAATATGTATATTTCAAAGATGTGGAGTTGACCACTTTTACAATGGTTGACACATATAGCTTTATTGAAAATGTTACACTATTCATGCGTTGCTATTTTTAAAACATAAAATCTGTAATGTACACTTTTTAAAGGAAAGCTTTTAAAAAATATCACCATTATAAATGTTATTTTTCTCTAAAATAATTATTTATGTTTATACTGAATAGTGTTCACTATACATTGATTCATGTTAGGGATGGAGAAATTATTAAAAAAAAAATTTTCTTTCATTCCAAGGAATAAGAGTTGGAAACGTTTTCTTTATTTCACATTTTTTCATCGTAGTTTTGATACATAAGATCTGAAAAATATTCTTAAGAAAGATCTAGAATGGGGCTGTATAAAATGTACAGTTTTCTCGAAAATTTGTTTTTCAGAATTTTTTTAATTTCATTTTAATGAGGAAAACACCACAAAAACAATTTAATAACACACTTTTTATTTCTGAGTATGAATAAATAAACAGGCAAAACTTGTCTGACAAATATTTTCATTTAATTATTTTTTTGCCTTACCCTAATCGTATCTACCTTAATATTATATTATAATAGTTTTAAGATGTAAAATGATTTTTACATTGACACATGCATTTGCCAATCTTCCGGTCTAGATGTTAAGTAGAATATTGTCAACTCGGCCTCTCTAAATCGACAAAGGAATACATTTTGGAATAATATTTCTAAACTACATATGTAGTCCTGTTGTTTGGTGACGTTGACGAGACAATAGCGAATGTATTGTACTTGACAACAAGGCGAACTCGACGGCAGGAAGTAGGGACGTGGGTCGGAAGCCTAAGACATTTGATGTGGTGACGGTACAGGAGATGCGCAATCCAATACAGCCACGTGTGAGTGTGTGTAATAATCGTACAGTAGCTGTTACACTTGAATAGTACTGTGCAATGCAATCATCATGACAATAATATCCCGAGGTACGTACATAGAGAATGGCGGATGACGTTATCGACGAGACACACGGTGTACACTGTTATCGACTTGTGCCGGTTGTCTAAGACCCGCCTTTTGCCCATCCGACATGGCATTAATAATAATAATATATTGTATTGTACACGGTATCAGACGTTTCCTGATCCGTACAGGCACCCTTCCGACCGGGGTCGGTCTGCCAGACGTTTGCCGTTGACAGCCAAGGAAACAAGCCCCGTCCAGATAAATGTACAATAATAAAAATATTGCCGTCTCGGTTATCGGCAAACCCTAAACGGTCGGTTAAGTACTACACATGCCATATCGTCGTCTACCGCTTAGATCTCTGTCGAATGCAGTGAACAGCAGGCCCAAAATTTAAACTTACATGTAGGTCAACGGCCGAATTTAACGGTTGAGTTGTTGGTGGGGCAATAAAGCTCTCCGATACCGATTAAAGGACCTAAAGATACTGTTATAACCTAAACAACATAGTCCACGTTGTCTCTAAGCTTATTATATTGATATTAGAAGCTTATGGAAACCGTTCTGAACATTTTCGTTCGTAGAGTGTGTACCAAAATTGTGTTTAGCTTAGGCTGAAAATAATTTCAAATAAAGATAAGCCGCCCTTTAAATGCGCAAGACGTTATCGCTTAACTGAATTAGACCAAAGGTTATTTGTTTCAGAATAACAAAACGATAGCCGAGGTCGCGACTTAAGACCCCGAGTCCATTGAAGTTAAATAGAAAAGTATTAGTAGAGTGATTTCACAATTAGAGGTACTCAATTGGGTTTGAGACGTTTGAAGTATGTTCTCACCTTATGGTGGAGTTGGTACTGACTACCATCGCACCTAATATGTTGTATTCTAACATGAGTTAGTTCAGTACAAAATACATTTGAACTTTAATTTTGTCATTAAATATTATAGTTATTTAACGTTAAGTAAGAAATAAAGGAAAACAATACCAATATGCTATCAACACTCCATTCGACGTTCGCCGAGTACCTTACATTATGTGTCTATCGACACCGCTTTTATCTTGTCAATCAGTCACTGTCGATTTATATTTTGAATTTGTTCATGTGACACTGCGCCGTTACAAAAGGGGAAACTTCCTTTTACCGTTTATCGAAACCGGTGCTATCGTTAGACACGTATCTTCACCAAACGGGAATATTAGTTTTGAAACTCCACAATGACAGCTGATGGTACACAACCCTCGTCAAGTACCACCGCCAAGTTACCCACCGACTTCGCCTTGACTTCATAAAGTATGTTCGTCGTCGCCAATGTAATTAGTTTAGCCATGAACAATGTGGAACTGTCAAAACGATACCATAAACATTGGAGTTAAAGTTACTTGTGGTATTTATCGTTAACCGGTAAGGACCGTATCTATGGAAAATTCACCTTAGCCCTCGAGACAGCTGGCCAACCGCTGTAATACACTTGGTTTAAGGATTGCAATTTTGAAGTTGTTAAAGTTTCAATTTTAGGGTAGGAGGATGTAGTATTATTTTTATCTGCGCGCACTTTAAACTCTAAAACTTTAAAAATAGTTGTGATATGAAAAAAAATAATTATGAATTTCTTGTTAAACCCTAAGAGATATTTCTTTTTTAAGATTTATTTTTCGTGGCTGAGCCTAATTTTTTTAATAATGTAACTAAAAGAGCCGAATTTTTGGCTGTTATTTTTTTTTTGCAATAATTATTTTGTTTTAACTTTTTTGATCAAACAACCCGTTCTGCTCGTTAAAATAAGAAAAATGTCGAAAATGTCAACGACGATATCCACATAGATCGTTAAATTTGTGTAAAAAAAAAATAACAAACTGAGTTTTAATTACTTTTTGTTTCTGGAGAATACTAATTTATGAAAAAAATCCGTAAGTACATCGTTAGCAAAAGCAATGAAAATTATAATTAACAAGCAGCAGCTCTGAAAAATTGGGTACATTTGATAACCAAAGACAGTATTTTCTTATAAGATATTCAAGAAAAAAATGGTAGTAACAGAAATAATTCTTTCCACCCAAGTTTGATTTCCAAAATCGTTTGGACGTGTGAAGGAGTTTTCAAATGAATCACTCGGTATTGATTAAATATATATATATTGCATAAAAAATATAATATCAGTTCACGTTATGATTTTTGGTGGCCTCAAGTCGTTTCCGAGCATTATTGTTTCGCTATAAATCCACTTAATGGTGTATATGTATGTTTTTTTATTGGCTATAATATAAAATAACGCGTTTGTGCTGTAAGCCGAGACTTATTGAGCGAGTAGAGTTACAGGAAAGGTGTCACTTTTCATTTTTCGAAAATTCAATACCATATACGTATTGAGTTCACCCGAGAATTCACCTAGCCGAACCTCTCAAGTTGAAGTCGGATGATGAATACAGTAATAATATTTGTATATACTAATTTATAAATACCTTATGTCTACACTTTAGGCTATGTTAAAAATAAAATAGTCAAAACACATTTTCAAAACGAGGTGGTATCATTTTTTTTTTTACGTTTTGAAATAAGTTCAATAATGTCTGTGACACAAATTTTTGGCGAATCATTTGATTTGTTTTTTTAAATGGTTTTATTCTTATGATTTATAAAGTATTTTGTACTAGTAAATTCATACAATAAGCATAATATGACGTTATGATTACAATAAGAATAATATATAAAAATGAACAGCGTGTGAAGATCGCCATCCATTGACGGTACTCCATTTATATATATTTTTATTAATTTATTAAATTGAGAACAATTCACTGGAAATTTTTACCGGTCGACATCCGCGTTCGATAGGAAGTAAGGGGAACCGAAGCAACGTCCTCGAACCGACACCACTATAGGGTACCTCTATGTATGTGTATAGTACTAATAATTATTATTTATGTGCTATGCGCTGTGTGAAGTGTACAGACACTCGGACCCTACACCACACCACACACTCCCCCCCCCCCCCACACCCCAAGTCGTTTTGGAAATAATAATTGATATTTGTAAGTAGCACCGACGACCCTCCGGGGAAAATTCAATTACAAGACCGTGTCCGCTATATTATAGTAGACGAGCGCTCGTATCATCATTATTATTATTATGTGTTGTGTGCTTTTATCTGGCAAACGCTGATGTGTACCCTGTCGTGGCTGTGTAAAGTACACACGTGTGCACGATAATATTATACTATACTATTGCACTTTATGGGAACCGTGCGTGCACAGGCAGCAATACACGGTTTCAAACATAATAAATACGAATTATTAGTATTGCCTTTGCTGTGTGTGTGTGTGACGAAGGGACGTTTAATAATTTAACGGCCTCCCAAAACGACCAAATTCGACCATAAACAATTACCGTAAGGTACCCCCCCCCCCCCCTGATATATAATAATTTGGGTTATGTGTATACTGTATCTCTGTGCACGAGAGATTAGCGGATACCTACCTGCTTTTTTTGGGGGGGGGGAAGGAGTCGAGTAGACTTTTCAAAAGGGACGGCGATAGAAATTAAATATTATATTATATTACACCCGGAGAATAAATATTTACTCGAGCCTCCTCTAAATTATTGTTATTATTATTGATGAAACGACCGTGTTAAAAGTGTAGGTGTTTCGGCTCGGCTGTTTAATTAACCGTTATGGGAGAGACGAAAAACGTTTTGTTTGGCATTTACCGGGGCTTAAGTATAAGTATGATAACAATATATATATAGGTACATAATAATATTATATTATCATGAGGTTTTTACCGGTGTAGACGGGCAACACGCGATTACTGCTATTGTTTGTGTGCGGTTGTGGTGTTGTTCGAGTACAGCACACGACATGTTTCCCACATTTAAGGCAGAGTTTACAGGCTTTTAAGTACATACAACAAAATATAATAGTGATGAAATTTGGCCCGTGCGTGCGTTGTATTTTCGAGAAACTTTTGCACGCCGATAAAATATTATTATACATTTAAACGACTCGTCGGTTTTGAAAAAAAAAAACCACAGGACAGCGGTTTGTTTCCATATAAGACTTTCATTTACACTGAGTGTTTGTAAGACCTACCCGGGTCTATAATAATTAATTTGGATAGTTTAGTATTCTCCCATCGCCACTGTAAATATAGAGAAAAATAACAACTATATCCTGGAAAAACGGAAATTAGCTAATTTATGCTTAAAATTAAAAAAAACTAATAACTTTCTGCAATTATATTTCCGGAGAGGGGGGGGGGCACTCTTAGGGTAAACCTGCTTAAGGGCCACCGCGAACATAATAATGTTATAATGTACATAATAAATTGTAAACAGAACATAGTATAAACAATTTTACATTAGTTGATTTACACAAAACTAATTCTCGACTAAAGAAATCTCTTCTAACATGATATTTTTATATCATACGGTTATAATACCTTCACTTTAATTTTATCATGACACATTGCCTTGTATACAAGTCCATACACTTGTTATGTAACTGTATTATTTTTTATTTAAACTATTTTTGTAACATAATAAAGCAACTAGTTGCTAACTAAAAAAAATCTTTACTTAAAAAAAACCCCTTATTTTTCGTTTTGTTTTAAAACAAAATAATAATATTATGAATTAGGTCATCGGGCGTCGAGGGATTCGAGTAAAATATAAGTTTTAAACAAATATTTTGGCAATTATTTTTCCACGTTAATTAGTATAAATGGCTATCACAATGTTTGCCGGTGAATATTAAATATGAAAAAAACTGAGTTGGAAAGTTCCGAATGGATTATTTTAAAAGCAAAAAGCACTAAAGTCGGTAAACTGCGCAATGTCAACACTTCAAGCGACTATCGTTTCAAACGGAACATTTTTTTAAAAAAATTATGCTTACACAACTTAATACCGTTTTGCTTGGAATAACCTCAATTCTGTTTCAAGCATTCTACATAATAATATTCGCATGACTCGCACAACTCTCCCCTTTGAGATTTTAAAAACATTTCTCAGCCAAATATGTCTTTTATATAAATCGTCGGAATATTTGTGTATTATGTATTTTGAATACAATTTCTCGTTTCTCTGACAATTTTCAAACTTATATCATACTTCATAGCGTTATTCATATCATATCATAGCGTTGATTGTTATTAATTTTGTTATTGTCTGGCATGACAACATTGTTTTATGAGAATGAGAGAAAATGGTCGACCCCGAATTCTATGGGACGAGGCCAAGAAGAAAGATATTATGAAAAGTTTTAAGGAGTTGTATGAATAAATATAAGACATAATATTATAATATTTTATGCGTTAGTAAGATGAATTTCCGGCGTGGAGACCATCAAGACTGGATGGCACTCGACAACATAAGGAAACTGCATCCTTTTGGGTATTTGTTTATCTTTTTTCGAATTATAAATAACGCCGCGGAATGATTAATTAACGGAACGGCAGAATAACAAATCGTTTTGGCCTTGTCGCTCTTACAGTAAAATGTTTGGTAGTGTTTAAGTATAACAGCGGTGTTTATACAAGTGGTGAGATTGATCGCTCAGATATCCGTTTGACAACTGTTTTCATACTTAAAGTTCTTGAAAATAATTTTATAAAATAATCCATCGAACAAATTATACTCAAAACTACTCGGTTATGTGCCAAAAATACATTTTTTCCCCTAAAGTCGAGAGTTTCCCTTGAATTAAGAAAAAACACACCAAAAAACGATTATAAAATTTTGAATAATCCGTCAAATCTGGATTTGAATACAATTCCTTAACTTTCCTAGCTTGCATGTGAAGTTGATCAGATGTATTACTATAATATGATGTGTGAACTTTTTTTTAAATTTGTGCTGAATATACGGTTTTAAGTGGAAAATAGTTTAAATTATGCCCACGCTTAAAATTAACAATTTTAGTAACATTTATTTATTTTTATTGCGAAGTTTACTAAAATAGCGTAGAAGAAATATTGTGTATTGCATTTTTAATAGCAATGAAATTTCTTTCAGCTTTAAAAATTCTATACTAAACCATTAATTAGATATTATGCAACAATCTATCGACAGCCTAAAAACCTAATTTATTAATAATTATTAAACAGAGGGAATACGTTTTTTTTTTCTTATTAAACAATTTTAAATTACATTAGTTTTCTTTTACAAAAAAAGGCAATCTTGTAGTTTTCCTTTTTGGAGACACTTAAGTTTATTTTATTTTAAAATATTGGACGATACTCGAATTGTAATTTTTTTTTTCCATAGTTCTATCAACTTTTAAAACTTAAATGGTAACACGACGTATGCCTAATCAAATTTTTAAATTAATAATAATTTGCTGAAAATTTAGACTGGTTGATAACCAGTTATGGATAACCATTACTTTTCATGTTACTATAAAGTTTAAAATGTAGAAGGGAAGAGTTTTACCAAATATTATGGGTTGGTTTTTTTTTTATATACAAAAAAATTCAAATTTTAGAAACAAATATATACTAAATGAAGCTGTACAAAAAGTAGTTTTGACAAAATTTCCAATTATGATATGAATACAGAATTGAGTATTAATGCTAAGCATATTCTTGGTATGAGTATCGTGTTGTACATAGAAATTTACTTGGATGTGCGAAGCCTTGGAGATAAGTTTTCTTGGAACGAGTAGTCGTCGTTTAGGCGTCTTCGCCACTCAAGAAAAACCGTACAAAGTGAATGTCGAGGGGCAGGAAAATGGTCCGGACCCTTTCGACGTAGTACTGTAGCAACGCTGTGTTCTTGATGACCATGTCTGATTCGAAATCCGTCGTTTCGCTGAGCTCCAAGTCTAAGGCGTTGAAGCCCCATTGCCATTTGGGCACTTCGAGTTTGAGATATTCCGCTTCGAGCTGATTTCGCATGCACTGAATCATGCTGTTCAAAGTGTCTTCGTCGATTTCTTCGGCGGTCGCCATGTGATAGGTCAAACTCCAGAGAACGCCGTGTCGCAAGTCCAGAAGATCCACGGCCGACGACAGCGGATCTCGCAACAGCAACCAAAACGTTGTCAACCAGTTCCGGATCTCCGCTGGGTCCTCGAGATTGTGTCTTTCCGCGTAGGCCGCGTACGTCTTGAGGTGGACCCACGCTCGGTACGTGACGTTCGCCTGGATGATTCGCAAAACTATCTTTTGGAATCGCACATAACCATAAGGGACCATGTACCAAGTGCAATTCAACGACTCGAGACACCTTGCTTTTCTGCATCCGAGCATTTGCGTTTTGGCATTGGTCCACAAAACCTGCGAAAACGATTCACACACGTCGTCGACGGTGCGCGTTATCTGGTCGCCCCAGTGATCCAATGTGTAGTTCTGCAGTTCGAACAGTTTCTTGGGCTCGGCCAACGCCTGGTCGATTTTATCCTCCAAATCCGGTGCCGGCAAGGTCTCCGGGTCCGGCGTCTGCGATATTATCATCAGCCCGTCTCTCTTGCACCGTTGGCAGTACTCGTCGATGTCGTCGATGTACTTGCCGAGGTCGGAGAAAAACAATTTTGCCGGTTCACTACTGTAGAGGGTCAGGTACGCTTTGATTTTGATATGGATCCGCCAAAAGCAATTGCGAACAGACGTGTCGAGCATGTAGAACAACGCAAGTATCCGGGTCAGGTCGGTGTCGTTTTGACTGATAGCACCTATGTGGTAATTGTTGACCGTCCGGAGCAACTGCAGATTATCCCTGATTACTAACCCGTTAGTGCATTGCAGCGCTTCGGCTTTTCTGGACAATTTTTTCACAGCTTTGGTTCTTTCGACGCTATACATCCTGTCGGCCGCCGACAATAGGTCTATATCGTGATCGGTCAAATAGATTTTATCTTTTTCTAAGGTAGGGGTGTATTGCAATCCTTTCAAAATGTAACGGTTGTAGACGATTTGCCGAGAGGGATACGATCTCCAATCGGCACCCTAAGACAAACACACAACAGAGTCGTCGCGTTAAATATTTCGCTACAGCAGTTGAAAATAGACGGTGATAAAAATAACGTAAGACACTCGTTTTCTCTATAAAAATAATTGCAAAGTTTTAGGGATTTAGGTCTGAAAATTAAAAATGACTAGAGATCTAGAATGGAACTATAACATATTATGCAATTTCGTTAAAAAAAAATCTAACCAAACATTTTTTTCAATCAGGGAAACCCCATAGAAAGGAGAAAATTACATTATGACCGTAGTCAGATTTCAGGTCGCTATATGTGAGTGAATCAACAGTTAACAGATAATAAAAATATTGTCATTATATTGTTAATTACCATAAATGGGTAACTACCACTCTAAAAGTTACTAAAGCTCAAAATATTAGGACGGGGGGTAGAAACTTAAACAATACTAAATAATTAATAATTTAGTATTTTTATAATAGTGTACAATAACATAAATCATGTTTTAAAAATAAAAAACTACAAAATTACAAAAAATGTTCAAGAAAATTAGTGTTTTACATTAAACTTATCACCTATTACAATTTATAACAACCTTATATTTTATACTCAATAATTATTGTTTAATCAACGTCGAATCGTACATCATAATTTTTCTTTCTTTAAAACCTAACCTAAAACGGAGGTATCCTACTAAATCCTCTCATTGACCAATTTAGTCCCTCTACACAGACACTAATGTCGCTCAACCATTTAGTTTACCATTGTGTTCATTCCTCATTTCATCGGTCCACTTGTCCATCCATTAAAATTATGTCTGCAAAAAGGCACATTTCTGTCGCACAACACCCTTGTTATGATTACATGTTGCCAAAATAGTACTGGGACCACTGCAATAATTATTACTAGTTAAAAACGTTATAGTAGAATGTTGAAAACATTAGAATAATACAATAACCAACACTAAATTACGGAAATTGCTTCATTATTTTTTTTTCTCGAAAATTTTGTTGATCACTCATTCAATAATTGGCCAATATTATTATTTTATAACAAATACTTAACAATACAGACAAATATAAATAAAAAAAGTACTTTACCGTCATCATGTTTATTGATAAGATCGTCAGAAAAATGTTTAAATGCAATGCACTCATTTTGATTGAAACGCCTTTACTCAAAACAGAATACTGATAACATTAAGTGTAGCTGTTAATATGGTCTATGAGCACCATACCATAATTTACAGTGCGGCATAAGAAATAACGGTACACAATATAATAATGACAGTAAATAAATACAATGTATTTAGTTTCCATTCGATTCTCGGCGTACAGGTGTGCTATATACATGTGAAAAACTGATTTTGTTTTTTTTAATTTAATATATTGTAGCTGTTATGTTTACGATACTGGCAAAAACGCAAAAGTAGAAAAACGTATGTATGACAAATAATAAAATTATTATTATTTTATAATAATAGAACGTTAAAGCTTTTAAATATTATTGTTTATTGACTAAGACTACAAAAATTGATAACGTTTTCAAAAAATATATTCTTTTGATTAAAATTCAAAGCACTTACAGCCGGTTTCACCAACTATTGTAAAATACACTCTTAACACAATGTTAGTTAACAATTTATTTTAATTTAACATCTGGTTAAAAGAAATGAGTTTCACCATAACATTATTAATGTTAAATTGTATATGTTAAGTTAACAAAGGCCCCCAAAAAAAAGTAGGTAGTGATAAAAATTACTTCCATTGTTGTACTCAGGACAGGTAATACATAATAATATTATCTAAATTACAAAATACAATAAAGTATGATAATTGAACCTATAATGCAAACGTGTTCCATTCCTTTTTACCTTTCTACCTACATAAAATAACTTCTGCTTACCTAATAAAGGGTTATCGAAGATGTCTTTTCTATTGTTCCCTAAATACTCAATATAAAGAAGTTCCTCATCAAATGTGTAATTCATTATTATATATTACTAGTATACTCAGTCAACAGAAATTATAATATAATTTCTGAACTCTAATAATATAAATATTTTATATAAGTGCTACAGTACCAATTTAACATGCCGATTAACTTTTCAACAAGCCGATTTCGGGTGATTAATTTAGCAATGTTTTAAGGCTAACAAATCTCGGTGAAATCCAATTTTCACTAACTAGCTGTTAAATAAGTTAAATTCTTAAAAAATGTTGGTGAAACCGGCTGTTAGTATGATAATAATGTTAACAATTAACGGGAAACATTTGGAGTGTGGCCAGAAAAATAATGGTAATTTTTTATAAATTCTTAAACGATACTCAATGTGAGGCAGGAGTCTTGACCCAAGTGAAACTTTATTTATCATATCAGAAATGGTTCATAATGAAAAAAAAAATTAATTTTTTCAAGGAAACAATAAAATGAGTCAAAATAAAAGTTATGTAGTGAGAATTTGAATTGAAAAGCTTTGAGTTTTGAGGTATTTATCAAATAATTCAGACCACCTTTTAGGATGACATACGGTCAGTTGAATATTTTATTATAATTTTAAACCAAAATATTACAAACAAAAAGCCAAAGTGTATGTTATTTAAATTACATTATTGTCTATGTCGAAAATGGCATGATCTTTTGTATCATTATATTGACCATCTAAGAAAAATCGTAAAAAAGATAAACTGACGGGCAACGTACTCTGTACATCTTCAAGGTATTTTTTTAGGTCTTCAGCGTTTTGCTTAGCCACCATTTCGGTCAGGTCGATTTCAATTTCTTCAAATTTTCCCAAAACCGTGTCTACTTTCGGCACGCTCAGTTCGATGAGTTTATTCTTAAGGCTATTTAAAATATACTTTGTCATGGATTGCACAGTTATGAGGTCAATTGTTTCGGTGATCATATGATATCTCAAAGCCCAGAGGACTCCGTTTTTCACGTCCAAAACATCTATGGCCAACAACAGCGGTTCTTTGAGCAGTAACCAAAACTCGGTCGGATTACTAACGTCGTATACGTTTCCCCCTAGAACTGCGGCGTAAGACATGAGGTGTATCACTACTCGATACAGCACGATCGCTTCCACGACTTTTCCCACTGACATTTGATGAACGACATTTTTGTATGGGGCTAAGTACCATTTGCAAGTGTCTGAATCGGCTAGCGTTATAGCTGCGCGCATCATTTCTATTGTAGCTCCCCAACTGACTTCGCCAATTGGTTGACAAATTTGCTCCAAATTCTGTGCCACAATAAACAGCGTGTAATTCCACTCCTGGAAATTTGTCATGTGCTGGTTTAATTTAGGGTGGTCCTTTAATAAAAGAGCATATTCCTCGAATTTTTGGTCTATTTGGTCGATAGATATATCCACGGGAACAATCTTCTTTTGCTTACATGCCCGACAGAACTGATCGAGATTTTGATTTACCTGCTGTGTAACATATTTGAATTCGACACTAGCACTGTTTTTTTGCCCACACATTTCAAACGCTACTATACCAATGTGAATTAACCAAAAGCAATTATGAACGATTGACTTGGCTTCGTAAAATATCGACATCATCTGCTTTATATATTCATTAATTTTGGGCAATTCCCTCGCTTCACCACTCGCTTTGGAAACCGACAAGCTTTTAAACAGCATTACGCCGAAGTTACATTGTAACACCAACATTCTTCTAAAAAAATGTTCTAGAGCCAGCTCTTTTTCTGGATTGAACTCAGTACAATCATTCGTCAGCAAGTCAATTTCTTTTTCACCAATATCAATTCGTTTTTCTTCAATGAGTGAAAATTTCAGAATAGTCTCTACGAATGTTCTGCCATAAGTGTTTTGACGGGCATGGTATTTTTCCCAATTTATACCCTAAAAAGAGTAATATTAGATTATATTATTTCATCCAATTTTTATTGCAAATTAACAAGTAAAACATTGGGGAAAAAAATTTAACCAAAAGCGTAACTAATAAATTGCTAAATAAAATTAAATAACAATGCTTAAAACAAACAATTTTGTCAGTATAAGAACAAACCAAAGCAAAGAACGTCTTTTAATATGGGAAAGTACTGATTGAGATCCTTAGATGGTCTAAGGCTACCAGCTACAGATATTTCGATGTCCGTGTTTCGACCATTTACACAACAAGCTGCTCATAAGAGTCCACGAAAGAATCTATCCAGACACTTACCAATAGTCTTTATGATTCAGATAGTAATTAGCTTTAAATAATTTTCCCGCCTGCGAAGTACTCATTGCGTACTTAACAGAAAATACCCTGTGAGGCTTGTGCTGTTAGGCCATCCATTTAGTACAACTAGTAAAATATGTACATAAAAAAAGATTTAAGAATAATGTTTCTTTGTCAAAAATGTATTCACTCCACAAAACTTTTTAAAATAATTCTTACCAGGACTGCAAGGCCAATCGATATCAAAACAAGTGTGGGGAATTTTACTTATAAGAGTTATTTAGATATGCCTAAGCGTTCTATCATGGCTCAGAATTTATCCAGAAATTAGAACCTAAGCGTTTCACTATGGTTCAGTTAATTTCAAATTCACCACCCCAAGCACATTATGCTAACTTTTTACTTGCATGGCAGTGCTTTACTTACTGTACTTTACACTTAAAATTATTCGCAAAAATTTAAGCAAAAGTTAAAAAATATTTTAAATATTGAAAATCGAATCTCTTAAAGAGCAATAACCCAATTTAGATTGCTAAATCCACAACTGTAGAGATGAAATGTTGAATTTGGGTATTGTGTGGACCATAACGGGTTCAGGGAGGTTCGCAGGTCTTCGGGAATTATCTTAACTGAAAGTGATAAAATGACTTCCAAATAAAGGTTTCAATGCAAATTTGTAGATGGTAAAAATACAATATTGATAACACAGCACTACACTGACAATAACGTACTCAAAATTATATTTTTATAATTAGGGTAGTTACGATAATGGTTGATATTTTGTCTATGATAATTTAAAGCCTTTGTTTTTCATACATCATAACTAACAATATATTATGAAAACATTTTTTAGATACCTTTTGGCTGTTTATGCGTTATTCATTCTCACATAGCAGCCTAGAAATTTACTACGGTCAAAATGTAATTATCCCTATTTTTATGGTTTCAAAACAAATTGGTTATTCATTTTAACCATTGGAGTTTAAAACTGTAGCCAAGCGAATAACACTATAAAATACATCATATAATGTATCAGTAAAAAATATTTTATTTAACAATGTAAGTTTTAAAACCATTTTAAAGCAATTTGTTAGGTTATTATATGGTCGCCTGAACAGGCATTTCTTATACAATATCAATGGTTATTGAATGGTTATTGAAATGAGATAACCCATATGTTTGTGTAAAAAAGTACTTTAATTGCAATAATTGTTCTTAAAAAAATGTCTTCCCTCAAAATAAAAATTATATTATTATACTTATTAAAAAAAAAATCTCTTACTTTTGTTTGGTTAAATTGGTACGCATCGGTTGACTTCAGGAGCTATTTTTTTAAAAAAAAAAGAACTATAAGTTTAAATGAATTATTATTAATTTAAAAACAAAGTTTAACTGTAACATGTGCCATTCGCCCGATGATAATAATTTTAATGTAAACTATAAAATTGTGTTGGCTTATTAGACCCAACAGTTATTTTAGTATTTTATTAAATTGGGGGTTTTTGAAGGTTATAAAACATAAATTATAGTCTGTGGTTTAATTTTTAAATCATTTTCTTTATAGGTACAATTTTTTTATTGTATTGTTTATAGTAATTATTTCCTAAAATAAATTGGTTATCAAAAATAATTACCAATGTCGCCGCTAGCGTTATTATTGCCAAACAAGTATACAAATTCTTGGACGTATTCATTTCGATGAGATCCTTAGCAACGCCTGTATGAAGAGCTATCAAGAACAATGAAAAGACAAACGCAAAATTGTAATGGATATTCTATGCACGAAATACGATAACGCGAATATAAAATATCTTACAAAACAAAATAAAACCACGTAGGTATATTATCATTTTTTGTTCGCAAGTGTTGGAAAAATGCTATTGGTTTTATTCGTACCGTGTCAACACCATACGGTCTCATGTTTATTTATTTTTTTTTTTTACCAGAGAACCTATATGCTATGTAGGTCACTGCCATCCCGAAATATGTATACCCGCCGGTGATTTTAACGGTATTGCAATAGTTTCCATTTAAAAGTACACAAGCGGCGAAAAGCCCGAGTAAACCGACCAGATATTTGCTTAGTCGTTGGTTTTGGAAAGATCTTTTTTGGCAATTCAAAGTAACGCTACGACGATTTTTATAATGCTAGCGTTATTTGGGACTTTGCAACGACCTAGTACCTATTGTTACCAACCAAAAATCAATTGGTCAACAACAATATTATCATAATTTATAATATTAGCAGCGCTAACATTCCGTTACACAAATTATGTACCGAATTCATACGTCGTAATGGTCATGACAATTATTATATTATTGATAAAGCTAATAGACTGATTGTAAACCGGTGGTCAATTAAACATGTTAACATTAAAAAAATTCTGAATAGGCTGAATAGTTTGTCATTTAAATCAAGAGCCATTAATAATGTTGGACACCAACAAGGAGACTCAAACGATTTTTGGAATTTTTTTCGAAAAATACAATTCCACTCATATGGGTTTTTTTTTCATAGAAAACAGTTTAATAAACGTTGAACAACACACACATTGTTATAGCAATACTCGCATATTTTTTTATTTTATCCGTGAAAATGTATACTGGAATACACTAACGGCTGTAAAAAAAAAACATAATATTCAAAATAGATATTTTATACTGAACAAATGCCTAGTCGAGAATGTTGAACATTCAAGTAAGATACAAATGTATTCTGTGAACAACAAAATATGGTAATGGTTTTAACAGCCAAACTATTGCCATTTGGTATATCCTTACAAAAACAGTTATGAACATTTTACTAGAGACGTCTAAAAACAGAATTATTGTATTAAAGTTAACTTGACTTAACAATACCATAATAGACAATAAAATATATTAACGAAAAAAATTACTAGTTGGATAGAAGTGGTAACTAAACTTGGAATTCCTCTAATTTTAAAATGTTTTTGTTCAATTATGCACAAGTATAATAAAGAATAATTGATTGAGATGTAGCAAGTATAGTTAAATGTAGTCATGTAGGGTGAAAAGAGACGGGAAAGGACAAAGGTTTTATGTGCCAGAAAAATGGTGTACGGAGAAAAGAAAAATCTTATAAGTCAAGTAGCGAGGCCAATCAATGAGCCATTATAAGCCCTTGTATTATCTAATTTTTGAATAAAAAAAAGGCATTGTTGCAAAATTATAAAAAATGCAAACTTGAATTGCATGTTCTTATTTTACGATAAAATGTTATCATGTCAACGTTTGCAAAAAGCTCCATACAGTAAAAAAAAAAAAAAGTATAATGGTGGTTGTAATAGTTCAGCATGTTTTTTAAAAATAATTTTTACAAAATATTTGTTTCGACAAATTTGTACGTTTGAAGAAATCTTAAATGTAGTAAAAAATTACAAGGTTGAACTATTGAGCAGATTCCGAATACAGATCAGCACAGTCTACAAGGACAGGTTACAGTCTGATAAAAGATTTCTGGAATTTTAGAAAAACACAATTCTACCGATATGGATATAACACAATATGATTGTGTTCGACTTGCAGATTTTATTTTCATAGATAACAGTTCAGTAAACATTGAACAATACACACATTGTTATAGCATATTTTTTTATTTTATTTATGAAAATCTGTATAAGAATACACAAACGACTGTAACGAAAAACCACATAATATTCAAAATAGATATTTCATACTGAACAAATGCCTAGTCAAGAACATTCAAATAGGATAAAAATGTGTTCTATGAACAACAAAATATAACAGTAATGGTTTTAAAAACCACACTTTGGCCATTTTGCCATAACCTTCTGAATAGTTATTAGAAAAATTTAATCAGTCCACCTATAAATAGTAATACTTTATAAAAGTCAACTTGACTTAAGATTACTGTAGGCAATCGCAGGGGCGTATTTACTTCATCCCCTGGGGAATAGAAAAACAATTGAACAAGACGTAAATGTCACATAAACTAATGTAGATACATTATTGATCACTGCATTTCTATCTTCATAGAATAATAAACTAATCAAGAAAAAACAATTATATAATAAGAAACCAATACTTAAACCCTAAACTATAAAAATAATACACTCTATAAGTATACGCATGAGTATATTATTCTCACGGTGAAGGATTCAAGTATTCATTTCTTTACTATAAATTGATCAATTTATGAAAACTCAGAGAACAACAATATTTTCGGTTTTTTTGGTGTCATTTAATTGTTTTAAATAACCGTAGTAACATAATATTTCATACAGCCATGATAATAATTCTTATCAAAAACTGATAAGCTAAGAATATTAATAAAGTAACTTTTTCTACAACATTTAATTAAAATAAAAAGAGCCAAAAATAATAGTTTAACCACAGAATAAATTAAATCACAAAGAACAGTTACAATTGTAATCAAAACCGTGGTGGCTATGTTTTAAGCCGGCTATAATAATAATAATAATGTATAGATATATATATATATATATTAATACTCTACTGATTGAAAAAACTATTCAATCACTACTTGGATGGAAATAGACTAGGTAGAGGAATTTTAGAGTTTTTTTTAAATATTATTATGTACAAGAACATTAGGAATACTTGATTAGGATATACGTCTAGAAAATATTGTAAACATTTAAATAAATTTAAGATTTTTTTTTTTTGATAAATTGTATAGATGATAAAAAAAACCTTTTTACATTTTTTATTTTTAATCTGGTCAGAAAAACGATGACAATGGCTTCACACATACGTTTGACCCAAATTCGGTGTAGATAAAAAGTTGTTTACTGTTTTTGATTAGATAAAACTATTTTAACGATCCATTGTACGCTATGGTATATTTCTTTAGGTTAAAAAATGTAATTGTAAATTATCGCTATGTAATTTATTATCATTAAAAAAACGTTAATAATAATATTATTGTTGTAACAAACAAAAAAAAAACTATCGTTGTACAGGAAAAAGTATAGGATTTAGATTGGTTTTTTTAAAACTATAGATTAGATTTTAATAATTAACGACGTTATTCTTTGATTTACAAATTAAAATTATTTGTAACTATAAACGGTCGAGAAAAAAAAACCGTAAATCATACGTTAAAAACTAGAATTGATGTCACAATAAGAGCAACAATATTATTACTATTGAAATAGCTGTTATTGTTATATTTTATACTATAACGATTGTGTCTGGAATTTGATCTATACCAGTCACAATATGGATGCTTCCCTAAAAAGGTTAGGTCATTGGTGTAACAATTGTTGCAAAAATGAATATAATATAAAATATTTCTATATTAACATAATAAGTATTATAAAATTGCAAGTTTTTCAAAAGCAGGTTGTAATCGAAGCTTGATATTGCCAGGTTTTTGTTCCGCTGTCGGTTTGTTTTTATAACCAACGCATAAGTTTGGCGGTTGTTTACTTAAGTTGAGTCGATTTTACTGCAGAAGTAGAATAATATTTTGTTTTTGTAGCTTTAAGCGATTCATACGTTTTTCCCAAATCTATATCGTTTTTTAAAAGCGCCTGAATTGGTTAATTTCATTATGACCTAACGTTAAAATTTTCCCTATTTTTTTTTCACATTATTTGAAACTCTTAGGCATTCGATCTGTAGCAGTGGCATTTTTTTGTAAATAAAAAAAGAGTCTTTGCAATCAAGCGTTGGTAAAACACTACAAAAATAATTTCAAAAAGGATTCTTAGTACCAAAAAAGGCCAATACATATATTTTATTTTTACATTTGGCCCTTTTTTTAGAATTTAGAATAATTGGTTAATTTTTAAATTTATATAATATCTTCGATATAGGCAAGTATTTATAGCCTAGACCTGTTTAATTTTTTTTAACATAATTGTATTTATTAAATACAAAAATGTTTTTTCAAAAGAAACATTTATTAAAGATTTTTTTTTAATTGCAATTTAATTGTAATTAGCAATAGACCCAAAATTTTGTTTTCAATCAAATACATTATTTCATCTATTATAATACTTAATATTAACAACTGTGTACTGGGTTGGATTTGAATTTTATTCATAAATTACTAGACCCTAATTGTTATGTAAAGTTAAGGTCATAAAAAAGTTTGAGTTAAGAACTAAATACACGTGATGAAATATTGTATATTGTAGTTTTATTTTCTACATTTGCTTTAAATAAAGAAAAATAGTTCTATATAAAATAAATAAACTGTATTGTACATATTTTAATATATTAACAAGATACATTCAAATATGCCCCTTAGACACAAATACGCCCCATAGTTGAGTATTTATAGTTGAATATAAATAAGAACTGTTTAAAAATTGGTAGATTATATGTTACTTGATTGGTAAGGTTGAGCATAGGATTATAATATGTACAAACCTTTAAACTACAGGTTGGAAAAATATCCACCCCTTCTAAAAAAATGTTTTTTTATGATATTTTTTTGATTTAGTCAACGTTAATTTTAAATGTTTATTTTAAACATAAAAACCTAAGTTTAGACTCATTGTCATGGTTGAAATCGAAATCTAATTTATTGTATGCTCGGATTATCCTACTTATGGGCCGTTTAACCGATAATATGTTGTATGGAACGGAACATGTACTCTGGATTCTGGTGAATAATGTTTGGACATGCCAGTGTCCAACTAAAAAAACAATATAAAAAAATTATAAAAAAATGAAATTTTTTTAAACAATAAACTTATACTAAAAACGACACATTAGTTAAAATAATAAAAAAATATACCGTGCTTTCTTATAGTGTTATAGTGTATTAATTACATAGAAAAAACCTATACAGTTGATAACATTATACAAGCAAATCATTGAACATAATAGATAAATACTTAACTATACTATGAAAATAAGCTAAATATTTTTTGTTATAATTTATATATTAAAATTAGTTTTTGTTGTATCGCACACCGCATGAGTATGTAGATTATTATACAAAAGTGAAACATAACAAGACGCATATATAATATTGCCATTGCCAAAAAGATTTAACTATCTAGTAATAATTTTATCTAGTAAAAGCGTATGTCAACAAATATTGTTTAAATGTACATAAATAAACAATAAGTTAACAAAATTACTTAGTATGTAAATTATATAGACGGCAATTTTTTCTTACTTCAGTCAAACCTAATTATATTTTTTAAAGAACAGTCACTTGATTAGTATAATCATATCTATTTTTTTATTATTATTAAAAAACATTGTCGTCTGAAAATATTAACACTGTCCTCAGTTAGAGTAGAGTAACAATACATTTATTTCTCGCACTAATATACCGATATAATTGAACATTTGAAGACGACAAAACTGTATCTTATCAATTAAACCGAAAATTTATTAAACGAATTAAATTGTAGCATTAATTTTATCTGCGTGCACTTCCCCTCCCATCCTAACTTTTATACTCTTATAACTTTAAAAATAGCGGTTCAAAACTGGATATCAATCGGTCAATTTTTTTTATTAAAACATTCTTAATTTAGTAAGTTAATAAATTAAGTTTTTTTTCTATTCATTTGTTTTTTTCTACACTTAAATGTAATTATTGACGTTTCTTATGTTACATAGTTTTTAGATGTCTTGTTAACTTGGTATTTACCTTATTGTAATGTTCTTGTATTTATATAGTACAATATTACAAAATGTTCAATTTTTATAATTTTTAATATTTTCTTGTGCTTTATCTACTTTTGGAACTTAAGTGGTAACGTATGTGTCTTAATAACTTATTACACTAAGAATAATTTGATGACAATTTTGACTGGTCGAGAAATGTTTGACAAAATCGTTATTATTTCAAGAGTAAACTAGCGTAGGCGTTGAAAGAATCACCGGGTAGAATAAATAAAATTACTTAATTTTAATAAAACCATATTAACAATAACGATTTTATTTAATTTGTTTTACATAGGTTACATTTTATAGGTACTTATACTTTATAATTATTGCTACAATGCGTACAAAAAATGTACGCTACTTGTTTTAAAGACAAATTACGCAGTCTGTTTTCATTTACATAGTCCAACTGTGTGTCGCTATAAATCATAGTAATTTACCAAAGAAAAAATACCTCATGCCATTGACTGGATTCTCTAAAGAAAGGTGAACTTAGTGCAAATTCACGTTAACTTAAAAAATTTCAGTTACACGAGAAAAGTTGTTGATACAAATCATGATTTACACAAAGTATATTTTAGCGGTCTTGATATTAGTCAGCACGCAAACCTTAAAGTGTAACTGTGACATCAATTATGTTTATGAGGTAACCATTTTTGTATTATATAGTTTTTAAATAGGGTACAGTTAAATGTACATAAGGCTTAAAAATTCAAGATGTATATAATCGTATTAAATATAATATGTTTAAAACTTGTAAATATCAAAACATAAGACATTACTGATACTTGATTAAATAAAAACGAATTTGTCTATTACAACATTTTAGCTAGAGTGAATAAGGTATTCATAAATATTCAAAAATAGCTGGAAGTTAATTTCATTTTGGCCTTAATAGTAGCCAAGGAAAAATTAACTGAGAAGTGTCACCTTCGAGAAGTTCGTTGTATAAAGGTTGGCCCAAACCCCTAAGCATTATTAAAATAATAAATACAATATGATTTTATTAGACTAAATATTCAAAAAACAATCTAAGTTATAGAGCACCGTAATTTAAAGTTGAATAATATGTACAACCGGTGTTTTTCACTAATGGTCCATTTAAGTACTATTACCCTATAATCTCTTTACTGCTGACATACCTCACTCAAACATCACTAACACGGCCACTTTTGTCGACGACACCTGTATAACTTCTTCTGAACCAGATATTTATTTAAGCATTGATAACCTTCAAATTAATTTAACTGAGCTTCATCTTGGGCCTTGAAGTTAGTCATCAAATAACACTTAACAATAATATTATAATAACAATATAAAACTCCGTTAAATACTTAGGCATTCACCTTGAATAACCTGAGCTACTCACATTAAAATTAAAAATACATCTTTTAAATTAAAACTCCCAACAATATATTATTATGGGTGCAGGGTTTTTACCTACTTTTATATAAAATGTAATTTTTCCAGAATACTGTTAGCTTAGTAAATTTGTGAATTGTAAATATTTTGTTTTCCTTTTCAGGATTCTGTTGATCGTCGCCATTTTTTCGAAGTTATTGACCAATTCAAAACAATGGAGCAAAATCCTACAATTATTTCGGAATCCGACAAGAAAGCTCTGTTAGATAAATTGGACAGAGGATTGCCGATGACAGACATTGTAAGCTACTCAGAGAAAACGTCAGCACTAGCCTGTGGGTACGGCTTCGTGGCACTCTATATGTTATACCACATAAAGCAGATGGCCGATGACAAATATATCCGTTCTAATACCTTGGTCCAGTACAGCAATTACCTGCACCGTATGCTACTGGTTATGTACATGTTGAGATGCCCTATTTTCCGGGGCACGTGGTTCGTGGCTGTCTACGTTGACGCTCTGCTAAACGGTTTTGATAAAATCGAGAACAACCCGTTTATTCGGACGGCCAAAGTGTCAATAGGTCCTCTTCGTACATGCCACAAAACGCAGAAAACTGACCGTCTTCTTCATGAACCCGAAGAAGTACATCTCTCCAAGGATTTCTCATACCTAAACACAAAGTTGCTGTCTAATTTACGACTTAATTCCGAAGGCGTCCTGTCAAAACTGTTTGCCCCCCAAGACGACCACCGATTCGACGTGTACGGATTTTTCTTTAGCAAAAAACACATAAACGCAAAGCTCGCCCCGCCAAAAGTTTGGTTCGAAACGTACAGAAATCGCGCCCTAAGAGGTGTCTACCATACCGTGGAGGACACGTGGAAAACAAACTATTTCGCTCTGTGCGATTACACCAACACGGTCAAGGACCTGGTACTGATGACCGCGTACTACGCTCTACTTAAGCACTGTCGTTTCTTGCTGATCACGTGGTACATCTTAGTGGACCGAGTCAATCTCGTGGAACCTAGCCTGCGACCAAGTGTGCGGGAAGAGCGCAAAAAGTTGATGCAGATGCCGCTGCCGCTTCTCGAGACCATCTTCCGCGACCTGAACAGTGCGATGGACGTCAGAAACCTGTCATCTATCGAAGCCAATTTAAACAACGACCCGGGTGCCAACAAAACCGACTTCACGGAATTCGTCCAACAAGTGTTGGCGATGTACAACTTGTATGCTAAAAAAGTCAAAGCCAATCTGTTGAGCTACGACGATTGGCTGGACAGTTTTAAGATACAGAACCAGTTTTTCTACGATAACCCCAGCGTTCCATCGTTCCAATCAGCACTGATGGAAAACGTTCAAATACTTCAAACTTACTACGACGACGTGATAGAAACGCTGAAGCCCACCGATTTCGCTGCTATTGAATACTTGTCGTCTGTGAATTATAAGGGAAAAGTTCAACAAGAGCTACCATAATATCATGTCTCAATATCTCCTGTAATACAATGGTTTTATTTATTTCTAGTCCGACTACCCAAAATATATTATTCGAGTATGGGGTTTTCTAAAATTCATTAAAATTAAACTATCAAAAGTTAAAATACTTAATTTTTTTCTTATAATAAGTATATATTCTAGCATGTCTATGGTGGATTAACATTTACGTTGTCAACTTTTTTGTGCCAAAAAAACTTCACATAACACGTCGGTTAATCCTTTTATGTTGCTTTTGGTTTACTTTATCGCATTAAAAAAATTGTTTTTTTCTCTGCACTCGTTTTACTATAATTAATTGAGCATTGCTTCATTTATTTCTTAATTCCTTAATTTTTTGTTTAGTTTCAGGTAGCATTGTATACTGTAGCAATTTTTTAGACGTAACATGTATGAATAAAATTCACTGTTAAAACAAAATATAGCTACAGTTTTTTTATGGGGATCGTATACTCATTAAAGTAAGACGTTGAACTACCGCAAGACATAATATTTAACTTTTTATTTTTTAACCTATTTAGAAAAAAAAATGAATATTAAATTTAAAAATTTAGATTGACTTTTGAGTAAAAGAAACTACTATGTTTTTAACACTTTAAAAATGGTGCTAATAAAAAGTAGACTACCATTATCGTAATACCATGAAATATTCGAATATATTATACTATTTAATGTATAAATGTTTTCCAAAAAATAGAAAGAATAGGAGTAGAAGATACAGTCTATAGTCTACGGTTTGCTGCCTGCAAGTTTTGACGTTACACTATGAGATATGTTTCAGTTATGCAATTGCAATTGTATTATGTAAAGCATATCTTCTTGTGTCCCTCGTGATCTATAAATCTAAAGTTTACCATGACATCCCGCATCACAATTGGAAATGAATTACAACCAGTCATAAATATTCGTAGCCGAATTACATTATTTAATTTCGAGGGTTAGACGTTCATTCACATAGCACCAAAAACAAATATACCTCTATTGAAATAAAGTAATGTTGCACATTACTTTTTTTTTTTTTTATAGTAGTATTATGTACCGGTTATTATAAGCTTAGTGTCGTTGAACCTTTTTATGTACAAATATCGAAAAAGTATTATATTCAATAAAAAGTACAAGTGGTATGCGAATCATATCCGATTAGACCCTTGTAAATGATTTTACGTCAGAACACATTTTCCCACGTGTAAAGTGTAATGCGATAAGAAAAATAAAATTTCCCAAGCAATTCTGTGTACTTTTATTTTTCTTAGAGGTATTCTTCAAGAATGTCCGTTCAAATACCATTATAGTAACGAACCGATACAAATACTTTCATTTTTTTTCCGCCACATTTTTCAGACATAATTTTATAATATGTTAAAAATAATTTTGTTCGTAAATAGCTACACCTCTGTAATTTGTTGTAAATCTGTGACCAATACAAACCGTTTCAAAAAAAAAAAAAAGGTTACATCATATGAATTTAAGTAGGAGTATAAAAATAATAGCTATGGTCTCTTAAAGTTAGGACAAAGAAATATCAAGAAGAAAAAAGAGAAGCGTTTTATGCTGCAAATTCTCTGGATGTAATATGGTTTAAATAAAATAAACTAACTGAAAAATATTTAAATATTTTTTATTTAACCAGATATTTTGATTTCTAGTAAATAAATGTGTGAGACTCATACGAGTAAACATCCTACAAAGAAGCAATATGGAAAAAAACTTACTTTTTAACAACTAGGGCACTGTACGTTACCAACAGAAAATCAAATAACAAAAATGATTTTAGTTTACATAGTCAAACTCTACATCGTACCTACCAAGTCATAATAGTTCACCGAAAAAAACATGTCACGTTGTTGGCTGGTTATTTTAATAAAAGTAGTAACCGTACAAACGCTTCGTTATATGACCACAATTTTGTGTTTTAAAAAAACGGTGATTATGGTTTATTCAAAGTATATTTTAGCTGTCTCGATATTAGTCAGTTTGGCTAGCACGCAAATCGTAGAGTACAGCAGCTATACCTTCAATAAAGTTTATGAGGTAAATATTTGTTTATTGTACATTTTTTCACTAAAATACAATTAAATAAACATAAAGCTTAACAATTAAAATATGTGTGTAAAAAATAATTGAATTATTAATTAAACCCAGTGAGATATTGATAACCATGCGTATATATGTTTGGTTATTTGTGTACATCTTTAAGCGAATCAATTATTAAACGAGTAGTTTAAGCAGGCTGGGAGATAATTAAACCCTTATTCTCATACACCAGATTAATGTCGACTTTTTTGACAAACAAAAAGTTTTGTGGTATTTTAGTTAATTCTTAATATCGCATGTAATACAACTATACAAACTCGAAAACAAGCATGAATGTGTTAACTCAAACACAGATTTATAATAAAAACTAAAAAAAAATATATAAATACACAGAGCCGTGCTTTCCACTCAAGTCTTGGTCGGCTAATTATGTGAATTTATAGAATCCTTACTAGTCCGGCCTCATCGAATGTTACTCTTGTATTTTACTTGACCTTAATTATTAGATTAGTAAAGATTGTGTTAATCGTTGATATAGATATTATTACTATGACACGAAACGGTACTGATACATTTTTTTTTTATCGTTTTCAGGATTCTGCAAGACGTCGAGATTTCTTTGAAGTCATCGATCACTTCGAAACTTTGGAGACAAAAGTTACGACGATTTCGGAATCCGACAAGAAATTATTGTTGAAAAATTTGGAAAGCGGTGGGCCGATGATGGACGTTGAAAGCTACGTACATAGGACAATATCATTAGGATGCGCGTACGATTTTGCAGCGCTTTATATGTTGTACCACATAAAGCAGATGGTCGATAAGAAAAATGTTCGTACCAACCACATAAAGTACACCTTGTCGCAGTACAGCAAGTACCTGCACCGTATTTTACTGATCACTTACATGTTAGTAGGCCACAATTCCCGGGCAACCTGGTACGTGGCTGTCTATATCGACGCTATTCATAACGAGTTGGACAAATTCAACGACAAAACGTTCAACTGGATTTTCGCCCATTTCAACGAGCCGCTGTCGTCGTGTCACGAACGCGGCATGTTAGACAGATGTCACATTCGACCGGAAGATGTATCTCAAACCGATTTACGCGTCCAAAACTCCGAAATGCTATCTAAATTACGACTGACGGTGAATTCCCACGACGTCCTGTCACAGCTGTTCGGCACCGAAGGCCGATTTGACGTGTACAGGTTTTTCTTTGGCGAGACAAACATAAACGAAAAATTCGCCCCGCCAAAAGTTTGGTTCGAAACGTACAGAAATCGCGTCCTAAGAGGTGTCTACCATACCGTGAAGTGCACGTGGAAAACAAACTATTTCGCTCTGTGCGATTACACCAACACGGTCAAGGACCTGGTACTGATGACCGCGTACTACGCTCTACTTAAGCACTGTCGTTTCTTGCTGATCACGTGGTACATCTTAGTGGACCGAGTCAATCTCGTGGAACCTAGCCTGCGACCAAGTGTGCGGGAAGAGCGCAAAAAGTTGATGCAGATGCCGTTGCCGCTTCTCGAGACCATCTTCCGCGACCTGAACAGTGCGATGGACGTCAGAAACCTGCCGTCTATCGAAGCCAATTTAAACAACGACCCGGGTGCCAACAAAACCGACTTCAAGCAATTCGTCCAAAAAGTTTTGGCAATGTACAACTTTTACGCTTATAGAGTGGGAACCGGTCAATTGGACTACGACAATTGGCGGGACAGTTTCAAGATACAAAACCAGTTTTTCTACGATAACCCCAGCGTTCCATCGTTCCAAACAGCACTGATGGAAAACGTCCAAATACTTCAAACTTACTACGACGACGTGATAGAAACGCTGAAGCCCACCGATTTCGCTGCTATTGATTACTTATCGGCCGCGAACACCTAACTGTCACCTACACTAACCTACACATCAATTCTGGTTTAAAATTATTGTCACGTAGAGTTTTCAAAAAGCATGTTGTATGTCGTTTGTGTAACCACTTTTTTTTTTTGATGAACTACTAGTAGTAAGTAAAATCGTTGAAATTCAAAAATTGATATTTTGTTTTTGCAGAAAAACGGCGTTTAACAGTAGTATAAAATAATAATTTTTAATTTTCAAATAACAATTTGTTGTTGACTTGATTTGTTGCCTTACCGGATATTGAATAGGTTCCACGTCAAATGCACAATTTCACATATAATAATACACATATACATATATTATATTTTTGTGGAAATAGAGAGGAAAATCCGTGGTCGTCGGACCGCGAGTAACGATACAAACGTCCGAGTATAATATTATATTGTGTACACCCAAGCATAGTTCGTTAAGCACGGCGTGGTCGACCGCCGTGTGTTGCAAATAACCAAAGAGAGAATATTTATTAAAAAAAAAAAAAAAACCCCGCCACCCCAAGCTAGTTGGTCCAGGGTAGTTCCAAACGTTAGAGGTAAGGTACATAAATCAAAACCAAAACGAATCCGTTTACGGTTTAATTTTTTATACAATGCCTTTGCCCCGAGGTGTGTTCTTGGCAAAGCTGCGCTAGACGTTATTGGGGAAATGTTTATCGGTATCGAACAAATAGTATATAGATACTATATTACATATTTTACACACGCCTAGTGCACGCCTTTGATTGTGTTTTCGGCGTGCGAGCCCTTCGTTTAACGACACGTTGCCGCACGAGGGTGACGCGGATTTCCGGATGGAGTTGTCGCAACCAAGGGCCGAGTATTGTTTTTATTTCTGTTTCAAAACAATAAAATATATTTTTTACTTTATTTTCCGGTCCATTTCTGCCGCCCAAGTGCAATCGCCGACCGTGCCCGGATCGTTTTTCACCGCCGCGCCGTTTAACATAATATTACTCGGTCCGGTCGCCAACAACGCCAAATTAAGGAACACAACCGACCGGACATCTATCAAGGCGCCTCGCCCTCACTTTTTAC